ATTTTGACTTATGTTCAAGGTAATATGTTTTTAATTTTTATGATATATTTTTTAACATCATCCTTTGTGTATTTGACCATTGGTATTTTGATATAATTTTTATAAAAAATTTGTTAATATATAATTTAAAAGATATTTTTTAAAGCTTTTTTTCAACAAATTTTTCATGCTTATAAATTTTTTTGGTTGCAATAGGTGTAGAGATCATCAGACTGCATAAGTGTCAACGTAAACAGACTATACATATTTTAACCTCAACCTCACCTCACTTCGACCGTGGAAAGGGCATAAATAGCAGTTTTGTACCATAGAAGTCTCCACCATCTTGGCTATCCCAACCTCCCAATGCTTGCAGCCAAACATACATATGATATTTTGTTTAAAGGGTGGTATTGTGTTTCCATGCAATGACGTATGAAGCTTGACTGGCTAGGTAGATGCAGATTGGGGTTATGATTTGGATGACAAAATATCAACCACATGCATGTTCTTTCAGTGAGAATGCAATTCTGATTCAATGAGTAACACATTGCAACTTAGAAAAAGCACAAAAACCAAATTTCACGGTTTATAAAAAAAGAACACAAAAAATAATATGACATTGTACATTACTCTTAAAACTGCATTTCTAAAAGAATCTACTACTAACATATTTTCAGCTAGTCAAAGTAGTTTCATGCCAGTTAAAACTCTAATTTTTTATGCTAGAACCAAGAATATTATAATATAAAATTATTTTATTTGAGGACAGAAGAGGCATGTTGAAATATCATAAAATATAATCCTGTCTCTCAGTCAGATATGTTCACCAAGCCTTTAGGAGGATTGCTAGAAAGATTCAAATCTGAAATAGTAGTCAAGCATGATTGACTGTTTATTGAGGCAAGAGGAGTAAGGGTGGGTGACATATAGCTATTACTGTACTTTTCTTAGCATGAAGTTAGTGGAGAACTTTGTGGAGCACAGCCGAGATAAACCGGCTATGTTATTGCTCCAGTTGCCCCTCACCTATTTTATATTAGATTATGCTCTTGAATGATCTCCATTATGTTATTATGAGGAAAGGGCCGAAGTTTCTACGGTGTAGACTTTAATATGTTCTTTCATGTGTTTCGATACATTTTTTTAAGCACAGAGAGTATGCAATAAAAGGATTCTTTCATCACAAATTGCGCATGACTCTCAAACTTTAAGAGAATGTGTTGAGGAAGATTCTTATTGTTGAAGTGAGTAATGAGAAAATATCCACGCGAAAATAATTATTATTTGAATAGATGGAAGTCTACATATCCAGTGAATAGAGGAAAGGGGGGACAAGTCCCACCTTGAGTAACAGGGATGCATTAAACCGAATATATCATTGACCGAATCTGTTTCTAGAAGTGCGCTACAGGAACCGACCGATATTTTATTGATATGTGGTCTTGGTGCGTATATTGTTTTTGTGGCCCTTCTTAAAAGAAGCACTCTCCTTAACGTCACTCGGTCCCTACGAAAATTCATCAAGATGCATAACAAAAGACAGTGCTTCTCTCCTTTGTTATGCATAAAGACACCAACTCTTAGAGAAAACATTTCCACGAAATGTTGGAGGTTGTCTAAAAAACCAATACTCTCACATGAAATTTGGGCCCCACACACCTCTCTCTCCCTCTCTCGTTGGCCGTAGTCGCTAACAATGCTCAAAGCGACAATGGAGAAAACTTAAAATCTCCAAACAGATCGTGTCGGATCTTCTCCTAAATAGGTCCTAAGTTTGGCCTCATAAAGAAGACAAGTAAAATATGCACTCCTGGAATAGCACGGGTATGCACTATTCAATCCAAATTCCTATAGATTGATTCGTTCCCAAGGGAATGAGGGATCAAACTACACTAGTAAAGAAAGAAAACAAGCATTTAGACATCTTTCTAACTCTGGACTGCGAAGTCCGAAGAGCATTCACGAAGAAGGCAACTGATTCAATCTCAATTCCTTCACAATCCCATCTCAACACCAATTTGATAAACACATCAAATAGATTTCAGCAGTTTGCTTTACTTCAGGATGGGGATCTCTCTCATTACAAGTTTGCGTCTTGGTGAAATACCCACTAGAGTACTTCTGATGCTACAGACAGGCTCAGCTCGTGGACGAATATCCGGGTGACTTCACGGATACACGCTTCAGTCGTCACAATGTTAGCCTGCAGACACCAGCTCCTCGAGTGCTCGTTCTACCTTGACTACAATTTGCAATCCAACAGCTTGGACACTTGCAAAGATGTAATGATCCACCACTTTATTTCCTACGACTATTTATAATGAATATTCTAACTGCTAAGCTAACCGTCTCCTACACGGATCGCTCTCTCCTAAGTCTTCTACTCTGATCTAAGCCGGTCGATCGCACCTCCGCTGCTTGCGTGAATGCGTCGATTCCTAACTGCATTTCATGTACATCTGCCGTGATCTCCTGTCGATGAAGAGTCATGGCTTCCCTGAAATCTCGACCCAACGCCTTGTACATCTCCTTTCTCCGATCCTTCGAGTCACCGAGATTCTCTATCGCTGCCACCAACTACTCTAATCGATGCGTCTCAACACGATCACACCGTGTGAATAGATGTTGCGCACATCTGTTAGCGAGGTTCTCCAACTTCGCAGGTGCCTCCACATCCACCTGAATTAATCTTCGCTTTAGGTCTTGCACCATCTCCCAAAGATGAGCATTCTCCTTCTCCACAAAATGGATCTCCGCACCCCGAATACGACAGATCTCCTCATAAGCCTTCTTTGCCTCCTGAACCTGCTTCTCCATCTCAGTCTTCTCCTTGGACAGCTTGTCCACATTCTCCGAAAGCTCCCTCACTGTGATGGATTGGTCCTCCTTCCCCAACGCCAGACGCTTCATCATCTGAATCAACTCCATATATCCATTTGCTTGAGGATCCCACCCTGGCATATACATCGGCCCCATCTTGTTCAACTCCAGCAATACCGGGACCACCACAGCTTCCAACTTCTACGACAGCTGTAGCACTGATGCCATGGGTTCTACAATCTCCTTCGAGGCTTTCGGCCCTGGCTTCACCGCCATCATCTTCGGACGAGAAGTCTTTGCCGGTCCTACTTCTTCTACCTTCTTCTTCCCTACATCTCTTCCAACTGCTAGAGTAGCTGGTGGACTGTCCTCTACTACTCTCTTTCTCTTCCTTGAAGTTCCGATTACTTCAAGGTCCGAGTTCGAATCAGGTTTGCTCTGCACCGCCGGTCTCACTTCTCCCATCCTCTTCGGTTCGGGAGGAGCACTCGTCCCTAGACTCCTCGTCGACCCACCACTAGCACTTGTCGAGTGCGCATCCAAATCCAAATCCGAGTCCACTCTCCAACCGGTACAACTGCCTCTCCCTAGACGTCAGCCATTCCAGCTTTGCGTACATATGTACTAAGAAAGACGAGAGATAGACTACACTCTTATCGTCTTCCCTTAGCTTCGTCGCCATTGCATGTACATTCCTTGCAAAGATCTCTCCCTAGTTCACCCGGATAGTCCCTCCGATGAACCCTTCTACGATCCTCACCTTGTGCATGCTTACATAGGTTGTTCGCTGCGGTGAGAAAAGCTGATTTAAAGTGAGAGCAACCTTCCTCCTGAATACATCCTTGATCAAATCGAGCTTGTAGCCATTCGTCCCCTTCCTCTCCCTAGGGTTGAACCACTTCCGCTCGTCAAAGGTAAATACCGTGTGCATCGCCGATCCTTCCCAATCGACGCCGCCTTTGTCCTCTTCGTGGTTGCGCCCCAGAGCCTTCGCCCATAACTTCGCATCCCACTTCTCTGGTTGAGCTCGACTTCCAATTGCCGTCAACGCTTTTCCTCTTCAGACTTCATCGCACAACTCCGGGCACACATAGTCCCATCACCATGACAGAAACGCTCCACCGAGGTTCTTCAACCACAGCAACTCTGCTGGAGTCCAATCCGCCATCAGAATAAGAGATCGAATTCTCCCCATCGTCACACTTCTTCCTACTGGACCTCCTCCGGTTCGACGCTTTGACATTGCAGCTAGCTTCTCCTGCTCCGGCAGCTAGGCAAGTTTTTGGCATCGACTTTCTCTCGACAATTCTTCAATCCGCCGCCCAAACGTGCGCTTAAATTCCCTCTCAATTCACTCGTGTGAACTCCCTAATCGTATTCCTGTCTAATATATTCGGACGAATACCTTCATGAGAACCCGAATATAACTCTTTATTCACAAAATACCAAAAAAAAATCATACTTATCCTAAGAACTCCGCTCCTACAACTCCGAAGCTGAATTGATACATCTCACCTCCTTCTAAGAGCTGATATCCTATGAGTATCATACACAATGTTGCGATCATTGTAGTGTGCAACAATCATCTCACCACCATGATACACCAGAAGGCAGCTACCAAAATTTCAGGTTGCTTTGTAGCACAATCGCATGTCAGTGTTTAGGTTTTTGTGTTCCAGTCTCAGACTAGGCACACCTCGGGGCAGCCCCTGGTGTATGACTCGGGACCAGTTGATTCCAAGCAAGGCAATGTAAGGATAAAATGCAGGTAAGAGTTAATGTCTCATGTTGAAATATGCTCTAAACCATCTTAAAGGACACTTGAAAACAACAGGTGTAACTAGAGAAATTATGTTACCTTTGCAAGCACAATAAGAAATACTAGCACAGTCAACTCTCTGTAAGTGCAACAGTTCAGGAGTAGCCTCGCTTGTTGCACTTTCCCCGCATTTGCATCTATCTAGAATCTCTGTAAATGGAATAAACCTAAACCTCGCAGTTATAGAGAGATTCTCACAACTGCATATAGGAGACCTTAAGCTTCAGTCCGAATCATTGACCTTACATTGCAATATCACAAGGCTCACCTTCAATAACTTGGAATTCACTGGTGCAAATTTGCACCATTATTCCTTTCTCATTAGCCAAGATTTGAGAATTTAAAATTGAAATAGGAAATTAGAAGTTGGCTTTGTGGATAGCCCCGTAATCTAGTGGTGAGGATCTTGGACTCTGAATACAGTAGTCCGAGATCAAATCTTGGCGGGGCCTACGCTCTCTCGACTATTATGTTGCGACTGCAACGAGTTCGGCATTAAAACTCTGGAAAATTTCAAACGTCGAGTTTTACTTGGATCAGAGTCATGTGGTAAAAAACTCCACGTTTTGAGCTTTGTTCTATGCGAACTTGACTACTCTTACTGTTACTTTAAAAGATCTTCAGTCTATGATGTTTGTTGATAATGAGCAAGTCGAACGAATATTTTTTTCTCTTTTCTCTTCTTTACGCATGTTTCGGTCTGCAGCTGTTCGCTCTATAACAGCCACTTCGACCCCTGCATTGCCCTTCGGTGGAGGCTACGGGTTCCAGAGAACGAACTTTGAAGTCATGCTTGTTCCGGTTTCAAGCAAACAGTAATAAAGATCAACTACAAGATGGGCTCGACAATTCGGAAACATTTGATCCAAGTATCAGTGTAAGATTACACACACACATCAGTTAGAGTGAATTTTTTTGGCACAGATATTGAAACTCGAACAAAAAATGTACTCTTGATCTGTGGCCGGCTTTTCAAAGAATGGATCACTTCGTATTTCTTGTGAGAATTTGTTTTCATAAAAAATTACTGCAACTACAACTACTGGTCAGCTCACCCACAACTCTCGACACGACCGTTCCTTCCATACTAAATGTTCACACTGCCTAATTTGCCGCCTCGGCCATCCTCAAAGTTGATGAGGAGGTCGCAAGGCAAGAGAAGGAAAGAATGTTAACTAATGTAGTTAGCTAATCAAAGAACTCTATCCACCCCGGGTGTAAAAAAAAGGTACACCCGTGAATTGCTTCTGGATGGTAGTAAACTGCATGGTAAAGAATCCTGCTGTAATAACTACTTTACATCCATGCTACAGAGTTCTTTGGGCAGTTTTCACAGAGTGTATCACAGCGCGTGATAGATAGTACATCAGTGTCTGTACAAAGCTACAGAATATTCACAACAGGTTGCTCGTACCGAAAGGGTTAAAAGTGAGATCCATAGAGATGAAAGAAACTATCTAAACCCAGGAACCTGATCCCATATCCCAACAACCTAGAACCTGGACTTCATTTGCTGTGATGATTTCAGATATCAACCCAGTAACTCACTGATAGGAGGTCGATCCATAACATGAGTTGTTTGTCTTGCAAGTTTAGCAACACCTGGATCCACGTGAGGCAAGTGGGGAATCTGTGCTAGAAGATCGATGGATCTTCGAAGAAGTCGTGCTACATCTCCTTCATCCATACCACAATCCGTCATCAACTCCTTCCAGGTGACACCTGCTGCCCAAGCCTCTAGCATCCCAGCGTATTGGATGTCGATCAAGCATGGGATATAAACTCCGTGCTCTGCCTGTAAACCCAACAGTCTTCCCCGCTCACCTTCCATTGCATCCACCCATTGTTGGACTGCAGGTGACGCTTCGTACATAACACTGTGACCATACTCTGGGCGAGTCTTGATACCATCAGAAACAAGAGTTCCACAAACTGCAGCAAGCTGAGGAGCTGTTAGCGATCTTACATGATCACTGGAAAATACCATGGCCAGCCAGAGTTCATTCTCTCCACGTACCGCTGATGCGGTCTGGCCAAGAGACAGTAGCTCACTGTTTGCCAAGTTGATTGCTTCAGCAGCATTCAAGATCTCCACCACCTGAAGAAATTCCTTCCACCCTGATGGTGCCATCTGACTTATTCGAGTTGCCAATCTGTTTGCCTTTTGTTTCAAGCGGGCGATTTTTTCCAACCTTGACCTCTGTAGAACCACCAGCTGCTGATTCTCCTTGTATCCTATTGTCATTTTCAGCTTTTTGCGTAACTGTGCAATATGTTTTCTCTCTTGTGTTACAAGAGCCTCGATTAACTGCAGATCGTCAGGTACCTCGTAATCAGTGGAGGCAGGAATCTGAGAGCTCCATGCCTTGGTCTCGGGAGAGCTCTGTGTTACCCAGACAGCACTGGATGCATCTGTTCCAGCCTTCCCAAGCGTTTGCCATGATTTGGCGCCCACTTGCAGCTCCGCCTTCAAAGCTTCTCTTGCAGATTTCCCTGGAACATTCTCCTCCAGATCACTCCTGAAGTAGCCCTTGACAGATTTCGTTGTGAAAAGGTACCAACGGTTGTCGGGCCCGAGAGCTACGTAATAAGTATGATCAACAAACGACGACGGTTCCTCCAAAACGCCTCCTTCCTCGTCTAGATCAGGTGTGTTGAAAGAGATGAAGGGTGGTTTAGGCACGTTCCCAACGAGCAGAGCTGTGACGAGGCATTCCGACCCTGTCCGAGGATCGAAGTAACAAATGCAGACATAGGGGAGCTGAGCTTCCATCAAAAGTGGCTCGAGAGTGGAGACTCGCTTGGTCTCCAACTCTTTCCTCATCTTTGAAAGCACGGCCTTCCTTTCCTTCACGGCCTCCTTGAAACCCAGATATGTTTGCAACTCCATTTTTGTTAACCGGCTCTCTAAGGTTTGCGATCCATCCAATGTCTGAGTCTTCTGCACGAGTCGCTCCACTTCTTGATCCAACTTGGTCAGCTGTTTTTTGGCCGCAACCATCACCTCACTGCCAACGTAGTTACCAAAACTTTGCTCGATCAGCTCTCGTGCCTGACTCAGAGTTCGTCCGAATGTGACAGTTCTGGGCTCTTCGAAATCGGAATTAGCCTCCATTTTTTTGACCCTTCCTCCCGCCAAGAGATTAAGTGCCATTCCGTACGTCGCAGTGAACTGAGACACAATTGGATCCGAACCTGCAAAGAGAAGTTTACAACAGTCCTCGGCTCCTTCAAATGGAGTTTGAACAACAACTACATGACCCTGTTCATCGATTCCCCTGCGACCTGCACGCCCTGCCATCTGAAGCATGGCGTTAGAAGAGAGGAGCATATGACCATTGTCTCCTCTTTTTGCTGAGAGATGACAAGACCGTCGTCCGAGCAGGCATGTTTATCCCCGCTGAAAGAGTTTCGGTGGCAAAAACAACTTTCACAAGCCCTTTCTGAAAGAGCTCCTCCACAAAAGCTTTCCAAGTGGGCAAGCAACCAGCATGATGAGCAGCCACTCCTCTCGAGAGTGGTTCAACAGCAGACTCTCGGATGGCCTCTGGATGATGCTCCTGAAATTCAGTTATAGCTTCCCTAACCTGCATCGACTCGTCTTCTGAGAGTAACGACGAATCTGCTAGATATTTCACAGCTGTGTCACAACCTCTTCTACTGAAAATGAACCAGATAGCTGGCAGCATATCTCTGGCGACCAGCTGATGTAATGTGTCTCTTACTTGTGGAACTTGTCTCCTTCGCAGCATGGATTTCGTTTCTTCCGACAGCTCTTCTCTGGCATCGCCAAAGCGATCTCCTCTCCTTCTTGATCCATTCTCGCTGCCTCTACTATAGCCATTGCCGCTGGACCTTCTCCTTCCGTCACCGCCTCTGCGGCCCCTACCTCCTTCGTCCACATCCCAGAAAGAGGAAGAGTTTGTGGTATTTTGTCTGGGGTCAGTAAGTGACAAACGATAATTCATTTCTGTGCCTTGTTCATTCAAAAGGGGTAGAAGAACGTATTTGGTAGAAAAGTGCCACATGAGAGGCACTGGCCTTTTGGAAGATGTTACCAGCTCCGTGGGACCGTGCACCTGTGCAATCCATCCAGCTAAATCCTGTGGGTTTGCGACTGTTGCAGAAAGACAGATGAGCTGCACGCTCTTTGGGCAGTAAATCACAGTCTCCTCCCAAACTGTACCTCGAGATATGTCGCTAAGGTAGTGTACTTCATCCAAAACGACTGCACTAACATTTTCCAACCGCCCTCCTTGATCGTCAGCATTTCCAGCACTTTGATAGAGCATATTGCGGAGGATCTCAGTGGTCATCACCAGAATGGGAGCATCTCTGTTGACTGCAGCATCCCCCGTGAGAAGCCCAACATTGGATTCACCAAAGAGTTTCCTGAACTCACGCAGCTTCTGGTTTGACAAAGCCTTCAATGGGGTGGTGTAGAACATTCGTTTTCCCCTGGCTAAGGTTGCCACAGCTGCAGCTTCTGCTATGAGTGTCTTCCCACTGCTAGTGGGAGCACAAACTACAACTGACGACCCCATCAAGAATCCATCAATAGCCATCCTTTGAAACTTATCGAAAGGAAACTCGTAGAGATCTGCAATGTCTCCCGCAGTAACTGTAACTCCATCACCTGCTTGTACTCTCTCACAAAATTGAGCAATCAAAGCGGTCGTGCTTTCCCGTTCTTCAGTTTTAACGCTAATTTCGGAAGAAGCAACTGCATCTTCAAACTCCAGGTCTGAAGAAGCATTATCAAGTTCCATCTCGTCTTCATCGTAGAACCCCACGATTTCGTCTTCCCGATCGTCGACATCCGAATCATAGTCGTCGTCGTCGTCGTCCTCATCGAAAGGCCCTCTATATCCCAATGCCCTGCTTCCTGAGGATTCAGATACTTCTTCTTCATCGTCCCGTCGCAGACTGTCACTTCTCCCCCACCTCACGGCCCCACCACCACCCACTCTGCAAACAATAGAACCAACCGATCGACCAACTTGGGTTATCCCTCCGGCCCTGTAATCTGGTTTTGACTTCTCAACTCCAAGGTGCAAACCTGCTGCAACCTCTGCCTGCGCAGGAATCTGAGAGTAAAACCCTAAACCCTGCCGTTCCCATAGCCAAGAGCGGGGAGAGAGAAATGTAAGTGGCATGAACCATTCTCCCGTCCAAACTCTGTCCATGGCGACTCCATCATCTCCATGAAAACCAAATAACTTCCCAATAAAGTAGATGTCTCTGTACTGCACACCAGAGAACAAAATGGTAAGAAAAAATTTCAAAACAGTATAACACTAGAACTAGAAATGCAGGTAACGAGAGGAACATATCGAACATACTCTCACTAACAGTGATCTGTGATAAAAATCTCAGTTACCGAAACGATTCAGATAATGCTAAAGCTTCCTGTTACATAAACCCTGGAAACAGAATCAGCTCCGTTTGTAAGGCA